GCTCTCTTTTTCTCTCCACCCACACAAGGAGAGAACTTAATTTCGATTGTTGACCGACCGTGGGAACAAACGGATCGCCTCCGCCGCGCGCGGCGAGCCTCCGCGACGAGAGCCACCCGGCCTCGATGTCCCTCGGACGTCTTAGGGACCAGTCTCTCCCCGGTCCCGGTTCTTTTTCCTCGATTTCTGTCGAAACCGGGCAAAAAGAGAGGAACAAAATCAAAAATCGGAATCCTCATCGGCCGATGATACCACCCTGGCCCTCCCCCTGCCGGGGACCCGCCGATGAACCGGGAGTCCTCTATTTGGTCTTCCCGGCCTGGCCCCGATGAGGCGCGAAAATTTATCGTCGGAAATAAAATAATTTGGTAGGGGGACTGTCCGTCGATTGGGACTTTTTTTCTGGCAAGGTCATCTGGTCTCTCCCACCTTCCCCCGCTCTCTGTCTCTCTCTCTTTTTCTCTTCCTCTAGGAGCATCAACGTTTTATCATCTTCCACCCTTTTTGCTCGCGCTCGTCGATTTTGCCCGGCCGCCGGCGGGGATTGGGGGACTGGACTCGTTCCTGAATGAGACGTCGCGCAGCTTTTATTGGAAATTTGAGATTAGGGGTTGGGAAACGTGTAAAGTCCTCCGGAGACATTTCAATTTCGAGGGAGAATGATAGCGGCATAAAACCGGTGTTATTAGATACCGGGAATCTTAAAATATTATTTATTCCGAGAGCGTCCTCGCTTTCTTGTTGCCGGGGGTAGAAATTGAAATCTCGCGGGAGATCTGAATTCGGCTGGGAGGACGGGATCCGTAACGAAGCGACGACGTCGGACGCGAAGTTCGCGGCGACTCGCCAGGCTGGACTTCGTTCTTTTCGACGAGGTCTTCCTTTAGACTAGTTCCCCGACGAGCTTCCGTTGATCTGGACGCGATAGCGCCCAGCAATCGCCGATCTTATCGATCCCGCGGTCCATTCATCGTGCTACGGTACTTGGACCGACCGTCGAGCGACTGTCAAGCGCCGCTTTACCGTCCGCGGACAGGATCGGTATACCGGAATGAGGTATCGTGCCTGCAAACTATTTGCTGCATAGAGTTGTAATTGGCCCGTGTATCCACCGGTCTTTCGCATACGCTATCACCCTTCTTGTTTGCACTCGAGGAGCTAATGAGCTGTGATACACATCAAACACCGCTAGAGAGTCGCGGCCGGGCCGCCTGAACGCCCGCTTCCGACGGTTCATCGCGTTCCTCGGTGCGCCGGCAATTGTTCATTCGATAACTTTATCCCGCGATCGGGATGCCACTTTTGTTCCGTATCGCGCTGATGCGATTACGAATCGGCGGGCCGGATTTTTGTGCGCCGGGGAAAGGGAAGATAGGGGATCGTTCGTCTATCGATGGGAGATCAACGGCGAGATAGCTTTCGAGAGGATGGTCTTGGTTTGATCGGCTGGTGACTGGGATATGCTGTGGCTTTGGTGAGATTGTACGGTTTAGAGACCAGTGATCCGAAGAATCACTGTGTTCCGATCTTCGCGTGAATCTAAATTCGTTTAGATCGCGAAAGTAATGATACGCTTAGATTATAAAACGACGTCTTGGAATTGCGGTTGGAAGCTTTGATAGCAGAAGTGGCGTTAATAGCTTCCCGATGCCCTTGGAATATCAAATTTCTCGACTTGCCGTGACTCGAATGAACCGTTTGAACTTGAGATTTGGTATAGGAAATTTATGAAGTCTCATGTATAATATTAAGCTTCGCATAATGCACCAACATATAAAATATTGAAGATATCTTCAATATTTTATAAGATATAGACGTCTTTGTTTCTTAATTTACGTACGTTCCCCGTTAGTCATTTTCCAAGAATGTCGTGCATATCTCATCGGAAACTGTCGAATGTTCCTAATGAGAAACTTTCGAGTGCAAACGATTAAAACCAATAGATACGATAGGTTTGAAGCGTTTATCGCTTCGTGGATCACTTCGCACGACGGAATGTTCGACTCAATTAAGAAACAATGTACGGTATAACGATATTTCCCGAATATCGACGTTACCGGCGACCGGAAAGACGAACAGCCCCGCGCCGGTGCATAAATCTAAATGGTCCAACCCTTTCGGCCGCGCCGGAAAAGATCCCCTGTACTGATACACCCGATACGGGCGGCTTCAAAAATACCAGGCGACACCGGTGTTTAATTAAGACGCATAATCCGGATGTTCGGGATTTATGTTGCAGATTTAAACGCGGACTACATAGATATGCCCTTCGGTAGAGGGGGGCCGGCGACTCCCGGCATGCCTGGTTCCAACAGCAGAACAAAACGAATGAGAACGAGTTTCAAGCATCACCAGTTAAGGACGATGAAGAGTTACTTCGCGATCAATCACAATCCGGACGCGAAGGATCTCAAGCAACTTTCCCAGAAAACTGGCTTGCCAAAAAGGGTGCTGCAGGTAAGCCTCCGCCATGGATTCTCTTATCGTTAGTAAACGCGCGCCTCGTCCCCGGCTCCCGGTAAATTGACAATCTCCTTTTTGATCGGCGACTTCTGTCGCTGTTCTTCTCCGTGAGCCGTCCGATCTCGCTGGTATCGTTTACCCGCGGTCCAATTTGTTTTCGCGAGACATGTGCCGGCCGGGGAGCTTTTCACCGGGCTTCGCGTAAATCCTGCATCCCCCCTCCCTCTCCTCTTGTCCGCTCGAGGAATCTTTGTTCCGTTGCGTTTTACCTTTACTTCTTCATCCGCTTCGAATGTCCTTTCTTTTACGATCGCTTGTTATAATTGTTAAGGGAACAAACTCAAGGCTTCGTTACCGTGCCTCCTCGACTCGGGACACGGGTTATCATTCCTCGAGAGCCATTTGTATTGCGAGATCTCGAAACTTTCGTCCCGTACGGTATCTTCTGTGCCTTGAATTGTTTAAAAGTTACTAACGTCGAGCGGTTCGGATTTATGTTGCCATTTCTCTTATTACTATAGTAATGTACCTATCTAAGCCCGCTATCGATTCACTCATTCCAATTCGACTTTCTTTAAAACTCGTTTCCACGTCACGCGTTTAATTCCGATTTTCCGATGATCACGATTTAAACGAACGAGTTTCCTTCTGGTCGACTGATTTCCGATTCGTTTCCTGTAGATACGGTTTCGAGGAATTCGCATGTGCATCCACAGTATCCTCGCGCAACGCTCAACTAACCCGAATTTGCTCGCGACGACACGGCCCATTCAAGCGAGCCCCGCGGAACGTCGGCGGGATCGTCTTGATGCGTAATTAAAACGAAATTTACAGGGTCGGTTCGCGGGAAAAATATAAATCCGCGCGACCGGCCTCCTCCAATTAGCGCGCGGCGTCAATGACGCATGACGACGCCCTTCATAGACGCTAAAAGTGAACGCCGGGTGGGGAGCCTCGGGGGACACGTCGTTTCGGACAGATTGTATCGTTGGAGGCTGCTCGTGTTGTTCGATTCTGGTGGTGCCTTCGGAATTTATGCGAGCGTGTTACGTTTATTTCTGCGGCTGTCGGAGGCGGCGAAACGGGCCGCGCGGCTTGGTGGGAGGTTAAAGATAGCAGAGATTGCTAGTTACGCGGAAAGGCAAGGGAAAATTCTTATCTCTAGACCCGGCCGGAGATTTCTGCGACGTTCCGTCTATTCGCTACCTCGATCCCGTGGAAGATAAATGGCTCGACGGATAAATATGGCGGCCGCCTTCCGAACTCGTTCAAAGAAGCTCGTTCCGCTCGTTTCACGGACGGTTGAACAACCTTTATTATCAAATACGATGTTTTGATGATCCGATTTGTGAATGTTTTATGGTAATTTCTGTAAGGAGGAATTAGGAGTATTCTATATTTGTGCTATTGTATTTTAGAGAATATTAGGTTCTCCCTTAAGTTCGCGCTTGTTATTTCTCTACCGTACAAAACAATATTTTATTAACTAATCGTACCACGTGTTTTTGTGACTTTGAGTCACTTATAAGAATAAAAGGAATGATTGAAACATTAGTGTTTCTGTCTATAAGGCCGAAATTTTAAAAGCCAAAAGAACTTTTGGAAATGCAGTATGAAATAATCAAGAAATTTAAGTGATAAGTTCAAATGTGATTCCAAGTCACATCGTGGTCTGATTAGGTTAAGTATTTCGTTCTCATAACTTCAGGACTTGCCGCTGTCGAATACCTCCCACCGATTAAATTGAAACAGTTCAAACTCGTATCCGCGACTACAAAAAGGCGCTGCGAAAAGTATTAACGCGCAACGACGCGAACTTACGGGACGACGTAATATTCTAATAAATAGTATATTGGTTTTTAAAACAACATCCGACCACTCGAATCGAATTTCGAATTCCGTCACTAGACACGTTAGTATTAATAAATTTTTGGATTAAACTAACATCCTTCGTTAAAGGCCCGATCGCCTATTACCCGGCGACACGGAAGAGCACGGTTCACCGTAAGCCCGCGTTTTGTTTTCGGTGACCTAAATGTTGCTGGTTCTCGATAATCCGAAAGTTACGACGCGCGGGTCTCGCTAGAATCAAAACGGACCCGCCGGTCCCCGTACCGTAATTAATTTTTTACCCGGCCCGGAGAGAAAACACCGCGAACTCGTAAACTTTCTTATTCCACATGCCCCGACTATTTCCAGCGTAAAACCTCCACCGCATCAATTACCCTGCGCCCCGTTCCCGTCGTCCGGCAAACAAATCACCGGTAAAGGATCAGAGAAAAATCCTCGTTAAAGCACGCAAGAAACTCCGTCCCGTAGTCTCAATTTCTCAATTCTCTTTACCCAAAGATTTCCCTCGCGCAGGAAACGCAAGCCGCTCTCGAAACCCGACTACGGTCCCTGGTACGAAAATAAAACGAGACGTATTGGTTAGAAAGTCTCTCTCGCGGATGGTCGTCTCCCCGTCGGATACCTATCGCACGTGCAAAGAAAGAACGTTTCGAAATGGGGTAGGAAGGGGAGAGGGTAGACCGCTTTCCAGGGTCCGGGTAAAAAAGGTGCAGAGAAAAATCGCGGCTGGAAGATGGATAGCCGGTGGTTCGATCGTTTTTCTTTGTTT